TTTCAAGTAAAATATTAAAGATAATTTTTTAACTCAAAGCTGTAACAAGTGTACAACCAAACAATTAAAGTGGATCATCTGCCTGTTTACATTACATCTAAATGGTGTAAATGTTTAATTAGTAAAATCAACTAAAGCTGGAAGTGTTTATTATGCTGACAGTCTGCAGGGAGAACAGATAATGATACAATTCGGGAGAAATTAAGCCTTTCATTTCATCATTTCTTTCATTACACTTCATCAGACATTTTGTTTCTGTTGCTTGTTGAATACTAATGTTTCAGACTGCAGGATTCATTTCCCGTTGGGATTTAAATCGTTACAAAAAAATAACATAAATAGTTGGGGTTTTTTCCCCTGAATGTCATTTTCACCTGTTGGTGGGTGTAGGTTCAGTTTCTGAGATTTGCTTTCTTGTGAGAATAAATAATTTTCTTTAATGTGTTTTAAGCACATTTTCAGACGTCCACCTTCCAACGTTGCCTGCTAAATAGAAAACTCGAGCTTTCATTAGTAACTCTGGAAACTTCTCACCAGGTTGCTGATAGCCCTCCATCAACAGCAGCATAATCCATTCTGCAGCTGAGGTTTGCTTCATGTTACTGTCCTAAGGAGCCCCGTTTCACTGACAAACATTAAAGGAAAAGCATTTAAACCTCTGGTCGGCTCCTTCTAATAGCTGCGGTGTTTCCACCGACCGTCAGGACTTTGACAGAACCCCCAGGCTCATAGTGCAGCACTGAACGGATACAACGGCTCTTTTAAACTCCAATCTTTGTGTCTGTGAGCACAAAATGTGTGTTGACCAGATGGCTGTGATGATGATGGCGGTGCGATGATCTGGAGTCGGGTCATGAGTCTGAACGGCAGCGGGTGCCTTGGCTGCCTGCTCGCTCAGCGCTGTGTTTGGCATGGTTTGGTGGGTGTGTGTTGGCGCTGCCAGCAGCAATGTTGTTATCACCTGAATACAGAAATGAGTAAAGAGGCTTTTTAGCTTTTTGTCAGTGTGGTTCTATGTTTGGGTGAGAATCAGGAAACTTGTTTAGTGTGAGTTTTTTGCACAGACATAACATTCATGCATTCTTGTGAGACAGAGAAAGGATCGTCCAATGATTTTTCCTCCTGCCAGTGGCTCTAATGACCGAGCCGGCATCTCATTACCATGGTAACAGCAGCGGGATTAGGGTTTCTATTGAGCACATGATATGATAAGTCCAGTCTTTGCTGAAAGCACAGTCGAACAAATGAGCCATTCCTTTACGGTATGGATTTTAACACGGTTTGGTGAAATGTGACTCATTAATGCAGGACTCAGATGTGGTTCCACTAATAGATTCATAACTCAGTTTTTGCACCAGCAGATAAAAACACAGCAAATAAAATATAATAAATGTCACTAGATCTTCCACCTAATGCTTGAAAATACCTGTGCCCTTTTTAGAACAGAAACTTGATGCGTTTGGAACAAAATGATCAGCTCAACCTGATTTTTGCCTTTTTGTTTTGACATCTAAACTGATGGCAGCGTTATAGAGGCCAAAGCTGTTGCTTGTCAGGCTTGTTTCCAAGACCTGGAAGAATCTCTGCTCGTCTTCTGGAGCAGCCAGCTGTACTGCAGCATCACAAAAGTACTAAATGCAGCACACACATTCTTATTTCATAAGCCCACTTTCTATATGTAATGTATTTTCTGCTCTTTTACTATCCAATTTATATTTATTGGAAATAGACTCCCACTTGCTGCTCTTCTACCTGTGGAGATGGATGCAATTTTGTGTCATGATGGCAAATCACCGGCTGTTCTGTCGTAGAAAATGATTCTCCAGTCTGGCTGTTGTTCTGTGTAACTCCCTGGAGTGTGGGTCATAAAGTTTCCACCATGCAGGCTCCTGTCTCCTCTGTCAGGATTCCTGTGCGTCTGAGCCGAGGCCAAGAGAACCCTGGAGTCTGTAACTTGCCACTGCTCTCTGTGGGCAAAGACGGACAACTGCAGGACGTTTATTGTATTACTGAGGTCATTGTTTTATTGCTTCAGTGCAGCAAGCCACTTTAGAAACCACAGCAGCATTCAGTGTCTGTAGAAATGCAAAATTACTGCAGTCTTATTATTTATTTTTTGTCATTTTAGATATTTTACTGTAGCAATCATCTTGAAGTACCTTACCATACTGCTTTATTTATAGAGCATTTTAAACAAAGGGACCAACGTGCTGTATGGTTACAATCACAATGCATAATAAAAACAAATAAAGCAAAGTTTTATATTAAACAAAAACAGATCAGTCAATTAAATTAGATGAAATGGATTAAAATGGGACTAGAAATTAA